TACAGACTTACACACACACAATGCAGATTTGTCAATATACATACATAACATAAAAGGCCATTAATGAATTATGGACTGAGCATTGGAGTATTAATAATTGAGAAATGCACTTAAAATATGACTCAAAAAAAAAAAAAAAAAGTAACTACGTTTCTGTGTACTTAGGAACTTAACACAGGCTTTGGTGAGTTTGTGCTATTTTTTAATTTAATATTCCATTTATATATAAAAATAGGCCTTCTAATCATCTAAAATAAAGGATGAAGGCACCTTTATCCCTGATATTTGGTTCAATAATATGAAGACTTAAACATTAACTATACAAAATATAAACAGGCATGAATGGGAGAGTTTAAAATAAATAAATAAATAAATATTCAAACAATGGGATGAAAAGAAATCTTGGCATCTTCTAAAAAGAAATTAACTAAAACGAAAAATACATATGGCATCAAAGTTTGGTCCCAAATAACCTCTCAGGCTGCCAAAGCTTAATTATTCTTTGTCTTTAACAAATATTTCACAATGAACTCTCTCCCATGCCAAAATTAATAATTTCAATTAGTCAGACCTCATTACGACTTAAATATTCCACACTAAAGCAATCTGAAGTCATCTTATCTCTGTTTCTTAAGCCATGAGCTGAACTGATTATTTTAATATTTTAAGTTACTATTAATAAAAGACTAGTGAGTTATGTGGTTAACTTGTGCATACAACAAATTCTTAGTTAATGCAGAAAGACAAATAGTACATTAAACATACTACTTAACAATAACTATCAGGTAAATATATTGTACTGCCACCTGTTATGGGAAAAATGAATTTTATCATTAATTTATTAGTATATATTTTTGGAATTTATACTCCTATTGAAAATTTGATTATATCAACTTAAATAAATAAATCTGTGTTTACTCATAGATTGAATGAAACAATAAAAAAAAAAAAAAAAATGAATAAAATAGATAAAGTATGAAAATAATTAAAAATAATATTAATTGCACTCACAGTTCAACTCAGGACAGGCTTTCAGCAAACATTTATCATGATTGAACTGGTAGGGTATAATTCTTATAAATGTAATAAATATATATGTATATAAAATTTCTTATATAATAAATTAATATTTAAAACACCACTAAAATTACATCTATTTTAATTTGTATTCACATAAAACAACAAGGTATAAAACCCATTTTGGTAAAAAAAGAAAAGAAAAAAAATATATATAAATATAAATTTTAAAAATAAAAACCATAGTTGATAGAAATAACCCTATAATAGCAAACTAGAGCTATATATAAAACAAATTTAAAAATAAAAATTAACTAAACAAAAAATATATATATAAAGGCTAACATTATTTTATATAAATAACACTATATAAAATATTTTGTAATATAAATATTAGAAATAATGTGTACATAGATTTGGCAATATTTGTACTTGAGGGTTATATTTTTTATTTCATTTTGAAATAAGCATTAATTCTATTCAGAGTATTGGCAGTAAGTAACCTTCGGTTCTAAAGCTTCCTCAAGGAACAAGTAACAGCTAACACTAACAAAATTAAATTCTATTCTATCCCAATAATGACAACCCAACAAGAAAACGTATACAATTAGAATTTTTATTTTTAAATGGAATAACATGAACTTAACTAATTTCTTTCAAAATATATAAATATACATAACTTTATAAAATATAAATAAAACAAATATTAAAAATTTCTGGGCCATGAACAATGACAAATAATGTAACAAAGATAATATAGATTATTAATCTTAAACTATTAATTGTGTTCTAATAAAAATAAAATAAACCAATATGAAATCAAACTGTGATGAAAAAAAAAAAATTATAAACACATATAACCATATGCTATATTTTAAAATGTATATTTTCAAAAATATCAATATGACGAACCCATCATGATTCACACTGTAGCGCATAAAAATAAATTTGTTCCAAGAGAATATAGAATTAGCTACTGACTGCTGAAAAAAAAATATATATAAATGGTATGACATAACAATGAGGTAGTCTTCTTTACAATATGGTCACAAATTATATATCTTTGATATGGTTTCTTTAGGAAGTCATTATGTCTGCTGGCAAAGCAGATCCTTAATCAAATATAAAAGTATGAAAATTATTGATTAACTATCCTCATAACACACCACTAGAAATATATGTTAATAAAATCTATTCAAGATTCAAATATACACAAAGTCTCAAAACAGGTATTCAAACCAGCCCTAGCAGAAAGTAAAACTAGCCAGATCCAACATTTAAAACCTTGTGCCAGTAAACATTTATTTAAAGAGATGGTTAAATATTTCTTGATATCAGGATTCCCTCAACCAAAAAAAATTGTAACAGGAATATGGGTAACTAAGATCTAGTTTCATTAAGAACTATTCGTTCAATAAAAAATGATAATAACGTATTAAGCATACAGACACAACTTTTCCAAAAAGGTATTTAAAATTGAAGTGCCTTGATGATTTTCAACAGAATATAACATTCTTATATGTATAAGAATTTGTAGAAGTAAAACAACAAATAAAACTAACAACTAATAGTATAGCTACATTCATAACTTATAACAACGGCAAGAATTATGACATCAGGCCAAAAAGCTTTTCAATGTCATTTAATTTGAAAAAGCTTAATATAATGCTAAATAAATCCAGTCGTTGTTCAAAGTTGTTCATAAAACATAATTTCATTATCTAATACACACATGAATAACCTACAGTGAGATTAAACATTTTAAATAGCATTAAATATTTACAAATCTAACTTTGCTTTGTATAATTGAGCAATTAAATTGATATCTTATACTACAAAACAATAAATCAGTTTATTGCGTATACAATTATCTTGGTAATAAAAAAAACTGTTAATATGATGACTGCATTTTTAGGAACTTTTTAAGAATTTATTATTAACAATTAAATGTTAAAGCAGTTGTGTGGCACTGTGACTAACAAAATAACTTAAAACAAAGTACTGATGTTCATGGTACATAATAAAGTTGTTAAAAGTTACTAAAATGTGAACAACTCACACTATAATTTAACATTTAAACAGTTAAAATAATCAAATAAAATTAACAGTAATAATAAACCTGATCAACCTTAGAGGTAACAAGGATATTTTGAAATTCAATAGACAGTATTTCAAAAGTAGTAAAGGCACTTCAGGACGGTTCGAACACTTTTCAAGTTAATAAAAATAGATGGATTTTGGTATCCGAGAATTTCAAACGTTTATTATATACTAAAAAAAAAAAAAAAAAAAAAAAATTATGGATGCAAAACTGAAACATACTTTTGAAACCTTTGATTAAAAAACAAATTAAATTAAATAAAACTTAAATTATTAAGTTAAATGAAAAACAATCTGAAAAACCTACCACATTATATAAAATGAAAAATATATCAACAGAATCATATTATAAAGCATTCATGATTCGAACACTGCTCTGAACCAACAATAAACTTTTTTACTTTGTTAAATATAAATTTAAATTTACAGAAAAATATCTAATTGCCTTGTTAAAATCCAAATTAAAACCACCTTGCCCGATTATCAATTAAAAAATATGTAGAAATAAAATGGATATTAGATACATAATAAAATGCTTTTCATATTATGGTATCTTACTTTCTTGATCATAGATAAACTGTTTCTGCACATATTTATAGAATTTTAAAGCAACAGTTCTATTAAAAACAAATGTAGATGTACTAATATAAATATAATTTCTTGATTATCGTATGATAAAACTTGCTATCTTTTATGTGATTTGACCTTTATCTGATGTGGTTATACTGCCAGTCTTTTTTAAGATTTTAAAAATTAAGTTTCTACAGACTAAAATATTACATATCTATGGGAAAATAGTTCAGATGGAATATAAATAATGGAAGACAATAGTAAATATTAAATATGGTTCTCGTAAGTGGACTATGAGTAAGAAAAATAAAATAAAGAGAAATTATTATTATTTTAATTTTGAAACTATTGAAGATAAAGAGGGTAAATGATCTTCAAATTGAAAAGAGCACCCAATAAAGGACAAAACATTTTCATATGGCTAATTATATTCAATAGAACATGAATGATCTTCCAAAGAAAAAAAAAAAAGATATAATTATGGAAATATTCATACTATCCAATGTATTAGTATTTAACTTATACTAAAAATAAGTTAGTTCCCCATTGGGTAGTAAAAGTAAGTATTATAAATAGTCTGTTTTAAAATTAAGCATTGATACTATTTTTAAATGTTTGACATAACCAATCATTGACTGGAATTACTATAATATAAAATTGCATTTACACCTACACAAGACAGACTGCTTAAAAAGATGAAAATAAAGGACTTTAGCTTCTTATTACTTCAATAGGTTCCACAAAATTATCAAACAAAGCCTGAGTGAATTAAAATATTACCCTAATGATCTATATGAATAACCTCATAAAATAATGAACAAAAGGACTGCAAAAATCAATTTCAAACAAATTTTATATGAGATAAGAAATGGAATGCATATTAGCAGGAAATGCTAAGCACGACTGAAAAGCAAGAAATAAACATGAAAAACTATATATTATGAAGAAATAGAGTAGTTTTGATAGGTGAAAAAAACACAAGAACACCATTGATTGAATCATAACTTTGTTAGATTCATGAATACTTCTTCCTAAAAATTAATAAGTCTGAGTGAATTATAGCTATTAAAATAAAAATAAAATGTTAATAAACAACAACAAAATAATGAAATTCCTATTAACTTCAGCAAACATCAGACCTCATACTCCTTTTCTTAATAAAAGAAATAAATAAAAATAGCTTTTAAGAAGAAAATGCCTCTTTTAGAGCAATATGATGAACATTTTAATTTGGCCAAAAACAATATCTTTCTTTGGTTAATATATCTAGTATATTGAAGGAGAAGAGCAGTGTTTTAGAATTATAAGGTTCACTAGGTCCAAGGTGACTGCAGGTGATGCTCAGGCTTATGGGCCCTGGCAATGTGAAGCATGAGATTGTAGCGCTGCTTTGTCTTGCGAGGACAGTAAGGGCAGTGGAATTGTGGCTCCTTGCCACACTCAAGCCTCATGTGGCGCCTTAGGGTGTGCTGTGAGGAGTATGTCTTGTGGCAAGTTGGGCATGCTATGTTCCTAGAGACTGACCCTCGCCCGCTCCCTGACTTGAGACTCTGCACCAGCGGCCGAGACACCACCCACCTCTCTGTGGACACAACACCAGGTGTGTTACCCCACTCTATTATTTCCCCTTAAATTTAATGTACAATTACAACAAGAAAAGTGTGAGTCTGAAGCACACTTATAACGGTAATTCAGAAAAGGCAGGTGTATGTGTGTGTGTATGTGAGTTTAGGTTTATATGAATATATACACACCCACACAAACACACATATACACAAACATGTATGAGTAAAAAGATATCATCTCATTTAATATTATGATACTGAAATAAAATTTCATAAAAAATGAACACATCTAACTCAGTAGTCTCAGAATAAAATTTATGAGCCAGATAACTATATTTTATTTTAATAACTATTATTTAATAAAACTGGAAATACATAACTTATAAAAGTAATATCATCAGGTGATTATTAATTAATTAGTTGAGAAACAAATTAAACATACAATTGAATAAATATTTATTTTATCAATTTCACATCCTTTAACATTATTTTAATTTTGCCATCTAATGAAATTACATAATTTCAATTTGAATAATTTTTCAAACAAAAATTATCTCTTGATGGATACCAAAAATATATATAATTTTTTGAAAAGGCGAATTCCTATCCTTAAATTTGCTACAGCTTTGAGAAAAGTATTTTTAAAAGTAGATGACAAATATCTGATGTCAATAAGTAAGGGGAACGAGATGAGACCGATTATTATAAATATATCAACGCGGAAATCGAGACCCAAGAAGTTAAGATGATCTTGTATTTTAAATTCCAAAATTGCACTGTTTTCCAGATAGCACACTGGCCAATCCCACCTGTTCTAGCAATATTTTTATAGATATTACGGTTGCCATGTGGTATTTATCATATATTATAGAGAACTTTTAAAACTAAAATGCTGCTATTTATTGTAGTCAATGACGATAAATTAAAAAATTATTAAAAGGTGAACAAAGAAGAATAAGTTTATCTGTTAATTTAAATTGATTAGTATATGTTGAATGTAGAGGCTTTTTGTTTAGATTTTTATCAAAGTTAAAAACCCGTTCGCGGGAACAAAAAAAAGATAACTAATAATAAATAATAAAAATGCAAGCGTTACCCGACTACTTCCACCAATACGGCGAGGGTTCGATTTCTGCATGGAAACAGTAATGTTCCCACACAGAGATTCACAGAGGTGAGGGACCCCTGCATCTTACACCATAGCTCCTGGTCTTCCAGGTTGGGGATTGGGTATAGGCCCAATAATCCTATCCCGGGCAAAACAACTCATTACGAAACCTAAACTAAGCTTTGTAAAATTGAACTGTCTAAATATGGTAATGATCTTGGCTTAGAATCAAGGACAATACATTTGATCTTGGGACATATGTCATTTATGCAGACCAGGAGCCGCAAAAAACGGTGGTCAAGGAACTAAAAGGAGTAACATAGCGGTAACAGTCATTCAAGAGGTAAGGTGGCAAAACCATTATCGACGGCCTTGCACTATTCTACTCCAGGAGAAATGATAAAAACAGTCGGCACGTGATTTATAGTTAGTCCAGAGGCAAGAAAATCAATCACTGGAATGCTAATATGCATTCCACTCCGATAAACGAAAAGATTAGTGTATTACGAGTTAAAGGTCATTGGTTTAATTAATGTTTACAATTAAACCAACTAATATAATTAATGTGTATGGAACAATCGAAGACAAAAATGAAGAGATCAGTTGAAAAATATTGTGGACCAAGCTCATAGGCATGACATAAAATTAGTCATAGGTCACATTAATGAAAAGATAGGAAGCGAACCTCAATTCTCAGGCTCATTATCGGAGGCCAAAGCCTTCACCAAAATAGCAATGACAATGGAGTGAGTTGTATCAGTCTGGCAGCAGCTAAAGGTCTAGTCATTAGCAGTACTATGTTCCTACACAAGGATGTCCACTAGTATACCTGGGTTAGTCCTAAAGGAGCCAAAAACCAAATTGACCAAGTGCTGGTAGACAAGAGACTTCAGAGCTCAATACAAGATGTAAAAAGCTATCGTGGAGCAGACTGTGATTCGGATCACTCTCTGATTAGAATTAAACTGTCAGAGATTGAAGGGAACAGGGAATCAGTATAAAGAAGGAGGCATGAAGTCCGTAATTTAAAAAATCCTGAAGTAAAAACCAAAATCCAACTTAAATAAATTCGAACCCTTGGATTTGAATGGCCTTAAGGTGGACTAACACTGGAAGAAAATAGAGAAATGGGTAAAAGAAATGCTAAGATATGGTTCACAGAAGCATGCGAAAAGGCAGTAGAGGAAAGAAGAGAAATGAAATATTGCCTAACTACAATAGATTAAGTTGCGCAGGACAAGTGTACAAATGCCAAGAAAAAGGCAAACAAAATTATAAGATCGGCAAAAAGGGAATTCCTCAAAGAAAGATTGCAAACCATTGAGGACAACTGGATGGCTGGAGACATACGCAGACATTAGGAAAGAAAGGGTAGGATATAAAGCGAGGAATGTGCAAATGCGAGGAAAAGATGTCATTCTGATGGCATCTAAAGAAATTATATTGAACATCTGGAGAAAATATTTCTCACGAACAAAAAACACAAGGACCACACTAAGGACCTTGGCCTAGAAGAGGTTGAAAAAACAGATATACTGGATGTAGAACTTACCATCAGAACTGTATAAAGATGGGGAAGACTAATTAAGAGCTAAACTACAACAACCAATCCAGAAAATGTGGGAAGAGAAAAGGATACCATGTATGAGTTTAGTAATTATAGAGGCATAGCATTCCTTCCGGTTGCCTACAAGATAATGACGAAAATCCTACTAAACCGGATACATCTGTATGACAGGAATATAATAGGTGACCACCAAGCTGGATTCAGAAAAGGGTAGATCAGTTCTTCATCATAAAACAAGTACTCGAAAAACGATGGGAAGTAGCTCAGGACATCCACGCCCTATTTGTCGATTTCAAAGCAGTCTATGATTCTGAGAACAGGAGGTGCCTTTGGAAAATCATGACTGAACTGAGAATTCCCGATAAGTTGGTGAGATTGACAAAGGGGTGTACAAATGACTCCATATGTAGAGTCCGAATACAAGGAGAAGTATCTGAAGCCTTCAAAGTTCGAACGGGCTTACGGCACGGAGATGGACTATTACCGATGTTGTTCAACTTAGCCATGGAGAAAAACAGCAGCTTCAGAATATGCAATAGAGCTGCATGCAGATAAATGGAAAGAAATAGCCTAAGACAGGCAGAGACGGAGCAGGCTTGTAAAAAAAAAAAAAACAATATGTTGAATATAATTTCTAAATAATGCATTATTGTTTATATGAATAAATATATTCCTAAAAACGATTATACCGAGGACTGTGGAGAGATATTAAGGGCCTCTCAAATATTAAATAATGATATTACACAATTATTATATAATATAGGTAATTATTATCATAAATTATTTGAATCTGGTGCCGTGCGCGCATGATACAACTTTCACTTACCACCCTCTTCTTACTAGAAATAACTATATTCAGAAAAAGGGAAGTGAATGTAAAAATTATAGACGGTATGAAACATTATTTAAAACAATTAATTGCCATATGTTTTTCATAGACTTCTAATGTATTATATTTATTTTGTTTGACACTACCTATTTTCTTTTACAACTGTATATTTCAATTACTTATTTGATTATAATAAATCATTAAATTTTTAATAAAGTTTGCAGCTATAAAATCACGGATAAGAACTGCTTGGATGGAGAGATTTCTGGTAAAAACTAAAAGAGGTAGGGGTTCTTGGGGGGAGGAGGGAGAATGAGGGAGACAATGGACTAAGGAAGAGCGAGAGGAACAGTCTAGGAGGATGAAACAGTATTGGAGTGGAAGGAAGGCGGAAGGTGTGAAGAAGAACAAGAAATATTCGCGTGGTCCTTCCTGGCCGATTCTTGTAAAAAAAAAACATTAAGTACCACGAAATATTTTTAGTCCGAAAAGAGTGCCACTGATAAAGAAAGCCGCTACATTTATTTATGTTTCGATTGTGAGTATTTTTATTTGTTCAAGTACCGGTATATATACAAATTTGTATTTTATATTGCTGCAATCTATAGAATTAAATATTGAATAATACAAACGATAGCATTTATGAAAACCACATATATTTATGTATATACTATTTTCGGAGTCCATATAGGCTGCCTGCACATTGTGAGTCCAGTTCAAGTGGTATGTTCTTCGGTTAAGTATACCCCACTAATCGAGTAAATTTGGGGGCGTAAGTTTTTAAATTGCAACATATTTAAGTAGGTGAGTTGGAATGGTTTCGATTCATTTTCATGTAATTTATCGAATGAGATAATTTTCGGCGGGAAGGTTTTTCGTTGAATGGCTTCAACTCAAAATAAAAATTTAAGTCAGTTTTAAAATTACAACGAATTATGTCGTCAGTCATCTCGCATTCTTTTTTAGATTGGTTCGCTGCGTATTTTGAGTCCAGTTCCAAGCGTAAGTCTTTTAGTTAAATTCATCCAACAAATATATGAAATTCGGGGGCATCAGTTTTAAAAATGCAATAACTTGAACTTGAGTTGGCATGCATTAGCTTCATTGTTGTGTTATATATAGAAGGAGATTGCTTTCAGCAGTAAGGTTCTTCGTTGAAATACTTTAACCCATATTTAAACAATTAGGTTAGTCTCAAAAATGCAAAAACTCAGTAATCTCAAATTCTACTTTAGATTGGATTGTGGCGTATTTTGAGCCGAATTCCAAGCATAAGTTCTTCAGTTAAATGTACCGCACAAATCAGTAACTTTGGCACCGTCAATTATTATATTGCAACCCATTTAAGTGGTCAGTTGTAATGATTCCACTTCATTATTGTTTTATCAATCAAACATGATTCCTTCCTACCGTAAGGTTTTTCGTTGAATGATTTAAACCCAAATTCTAGTCAGTTTTAAAATTGCAACAACTTAGATCGTCAGTCATTTCGAATTCTATTTTAGTTTAGTTCGCTGAGTATTGTGACCTCAGTCTTTTACTTAAATGCACCGTACAA